TCATGAATGTATGAAAACTAGTGGATTTATTATAGTACAGTAGATGCCTGAACAATGCATCTCCATTCTGAGTTGCAAATGAAAAAAAAGTTCTGTTTTAAATTAAAGGGGAGCAAGTGCCATGGAACAATAACACACTCACTTTTTTCTGAGGGAAAAAATGATTCCACATGTTTTAGGCTAATATTATTGTACTTTCTCTCCCAACTGACACTTCATGAAGGTTAATGTAATTTGGGAAATCTTTTGTATCTAAAAGATGTTAAAAAGATATCCCCTAGGATCCCACTGGCTTTCCAATGCATAAAATTGCTTATCGCACTGGCGTCTTGTTCTTTTTGTTATTATTATCATTAAGAATACAGTTATATTGGATTATTGGATTACAAAATATGAAAGGAGGATTGATAATCTTCTAGGGAAAAAAGGATCAAAATATTTCAGTATAGCATAGAAATACTTAAAGCAGTTACCCATGCCCTCATGCATAATTGGAATAGGACAGAATTTTCAAAATCTGATTCTAATTATCATAATCTACCCATGATGTAAAGCATGGAAAAAACATATTTCATCATTTTACCTCATTCATATGAAGTTCAGCCTTTTTGAAAATATGAAGAACTGTGCAAAGGACACGGTATAAATGAAATCTAACTTCTTACTGCAATGAGACAGTCCATGTCTGTGCAACAAACTGACAAACATGCCTCAAACCAAGAATTTGGATACATCTCATATGGATCTATCCTAAACTTAACATGCTTGCCCTTTTAAGAAGGTACCTAGCTTAACGATTAACCAGTGTGATGGTCACATTCAGAAATATCAAAGCCACTATACCTTGGCTTTGGGGAATAAGACAGTGGATGTTAGGAGGAGCCCTTCTATTCTATCACTCTTACTATAGCATAGTATCAACAGTAGAGACCTTCACTTCTCTGAGTTCTATAATCTCCCAGGATTTGAAATGGATACCTAACATTAGAACCATCATTAAAAAGGCACAACAAAGAATGTTCTTCCTGTGTCAACTCAGGAAGTTCAGACTGCCCCAGGAGCTGCTGATATAATTCTACAGAGAAATTATTGAGTCTGTCATTTTTACTTCTATAACTGCCTGGTTTGGTACAGCAAGCAAACAGGACAGGTACAGACTTCAATGGATAGTCAGAACTGCAAAAAAAAAAAAAAAAAAGTTGCAACCAGCCTACCTTCCATGGAAGATCTGTATATTGCTCAGATCAGAAGGAGGTCTGAGAAAATATCTACAGACCCCTCACATCCTGGACATAAACTGTTTCAACTCCTCGCCTCAGGACACCACTATAAGGCATTGTGTGCAAAACAATGAGACACAGGGACAGTTTTTTCCCTCATGCCATTACTCTGTTGAACACCTAATTCTCACAGTACTGTCTAAAGTCATCATATATTTATCCATGTTGTATGGCTGTAGTGTTATTATTATTATCCTTTTATCATTTTACTACCCCCTCTTATTGGTATTATTCAGATGATTATTACTCTGTTGCTTTGCATTTACACAGAGAGCTTCTGTACCAGAGACAAATTCCTTGTGTGTCTAATCACACTTGGCTAAATAAAGTCTTCTATTCTATTCTATAACCCCAATGAACTCAGTGTAATTTGTTTCAGAACAGGCAAGAACAGATTGTATTAGGAGTCTGATGGCATATCAAAACACATACATTTTTTTGTAAACTTTTTTGGGAAATGAAAATTTCTGGCAATTCCTCTTTTATTTTTAAAACATATAAACACCATTGATGTACAAAACAACAAAAATCTCAATCCTAAATGGATAATCTTCAATAATATTAACCAATTACCCCATTCCAAGAATGATATTGTCAGAAGCATATTGCTCCCTGGCAGAATCAGATTCTTTCCAGTACTTGTAGCTTTTCATACACAATTTGAGACAGCCGTAAAGGAACTTTCATGCTAAATAATTTCTCGGAACCAGAGCCTTAATAAATAACACTGCACAAAAGCAGACAAAGACAGACACAGTAGGGCTGATGCCTACTACAGCAGAGATAACCTCATTTTAAACCATTCACAAAACAAAATTCATAATAAAAGTAAAGACCTTTTGTTCCTTCTTCTTCTTCAGCCTCAGCACAGAAAATTGTCACCAGAAACTGATGTAGACAAAGATACAGTTAATAAAAAGCAAACATCCAAAACAACTTAAGGCCATACAAATAACTGTCTGAAAGGGTCAGTGATATTTTGGATTGTGCTCTGAGCAGCTTCTAGACAGGCACAATAAATTTTGCTGAACTGCTTTAGGAAATCTACACTTGAGAGTAAATCCTGTGCAGTTTTGAAAAACAACTTTGGCCACATACTCCAAAAGTGAATAGTTTTGTTTACCACCATCAATAGAAATAATATTCAGAAAAGCTGGATTCTAATAAGGTTTACTGAATTATTCATCAGTTTGTACTTTAACTTCAGAATGGTTATGTAATTAAATTGTATGAAAATTAACAGTATCTGTTTTATGACCAGCTTCTAGTCATTGGCTAGAGCTAAAATGTAGACTAGGTGTGCTCTAAAGGTTGACTATAACAAGCCAAGTATCCAGTCATTGGGTACTGTAAGTCCAGAAAATATAGTCATAAAAGCTCTTCAGGACAGTTAGAGTTACCAGGGGGACTATTGCCAGCTCCTGTATTTATCTGACCAAACCCAGGAAAGCCAAAGGGCTCAACTGAGCGCACATACTCCATTGCTCCCTCCTACCTTATGTGACTGCTGTAAGAACTAGTTGGAGATGTTACCAGAAATTTGGAATAATTTTTCTTACTAATTCAAAACCAATCTTAAAGCTCTATCCTTATTTGTTATTCTGGAGCCTCATTCTAGATTATGGTGCCAGTAGGTACACAATTTAAAAATTTAAAGGCATTTGTCCAAAATAGCTTTGGAAGAAAGGAAGGGAAATATTAGACCCAATTATTAATAGGTCTGTCTTCAACTTTGAGCAATACTTCTGATCACAACCTTATTTCATCTGCTGAAATGGATCTGAAATATAATAATTACAAATCCCTAAATGACCTCTTACAGTAGCTTAAAAGTAAAGGATAAGAATGACTGTATCACAAATGCCCAAATCCCATTTAACAGAGCTGTTGTAAGGGAATGTGATGATTGATGTTATCTAAAATAACCAAGAGATCCAGGTAAATAATCAGGGTTATGCTTGTCTGTCTTGTTTCCCGTACAGATCAGATACAAAGTCAATCAAGGATGAAGTCAGATTGAGATGAGTGCAGAAAATCCTTTTCATCCAAGCACTATTGAAGTTGATCAGTTACCGTCTGTTTGACCACCTCACCCAAAAGTCAGTATTAGACTTTTGGAAGAAAATGTCCAAATGAAAGAGCCTAGGGAACATTTTTGAGGAAGGGATGCAGAAGTTCACTTCTAGTATAAACATCCTATAAACAGGCATTCACATCCCACTTTCTGAGGCTGCAGCATCAGAAATTAATCTTACACAATTCGTCCAGAGGACATTCTAATATGTCATTCTTTTCACATATTCTGTAATGTGACCAGCAGTGGTCACAGCAGAATGCAAGGGAAAGGGGAGCAGGTCTGACTGAGAAAAGCAGGTCACAGTGTCACAATGTAAGCCACAATGCAAAGCTGAATGCACAAAAGGAGCAAGATTCTTCTGGAAACCCCTGAATGGCACTCAAGTCAGATGTTTTACTATTTAATTTTCTAATCAAGCAGACTTGATTTGAGAAATTGTGAATTGAATATTACAATAAATCCCTCCCAAAAAAACATTGTTTGAGACATTTTTGTGCAAAATCAAAAAATGCAACTTTTTTGAGCCGAACTGCTTGGTCCAAGGATGAAATCCAAAAGATAACTGCACTTGGATTAATTGTAGACCAGTGGAAATTTTTAGCCTTCCTTACATGCAATAAACTATTTCCTTTGCAAGCCAGAAAAGGAAAAAAAGGAAAAAAAAAATATCATGAACATATATAGTATATATAACATACGGTAGTTATGTATACTAACAAATATAGTACATAACATACAGTAACTGAATAGCCTAATAATATATGAACAATTGTTCCCAAATATTTTCACTAAGAAAAACATTTCTGTGCACATTTCTTTCCTATATATGCTCTGAACTACAACATTGAAAAGTACAGGTATTACAATATAATACAATTTCAATTCATGTATTAGTATAAATTAGTTAAATTGTAATTAAAATATGAACAGATAAAGATGATCATTCACTACTACAATATGTCACTTAATATTATTATAGAAAATAATAATTCCTCTGGATTCCTTTGTCAAACTGTTCAACTAGTTTCAAGCAAATTTGTCAAAATGCAACTATTTCTTCTATACAAAAAATTCTCTATAATTCAGCAATCTTGAATATCTTCTTTTTAAAATTATATTCTATTAGACCAGGGTTCCCCAAGCCCTGGGCCATGGCCCACTACCGAGCCTTGGCCTATTCGGATCCGGGCCCCACAAGTGGTGGCCAGCATGCATGCATGTGTGAGCAGCTCAATTTGCACAAGCGGTGGGCTGGCACATGCACACACATGGGCACAACTCAACTTGTACAGGTCGAGTTGCACATGCATGTGTGCCAGCCCGCCACTCTTGCAAGTTGAGCTGTGCATGTGTGTGAGCACGCCAGTCAGCCTCTCATGCAACCCAGTTCCTTTGCCCCTACCCGTAGAGCTGCCAAGCTGAAAGATTGGGGACCGCTTTATTAGACAATTTCAAAAAGTCATAATTTGGTACATACTAATTTTTCTTTAGAAAAATAACAGACTAAAAATGAAAGATATAATACTCAACAAAAGGAAAAGAAATATTACAACTTAGTAAAAAAAATTGAAATTTCCTTTGCCTTTTACAATTAGAACCATGTAATTCATAAATTAGCATAATACTACAAAACAATGGCTTACCTTGGCTATCTGAACACACCAGTTCAGCAAAACCTGGGAACCAATGTTATCTTTATGTTCATGAACGTAGTCTAATAAGCAACCGTGGGGCATCAGCTGAGTAACTAGCTGGATGGTGGGGCTCAAACAGACCCCTAGTAACCGAACCAGATGTGGATGGTCCATACTTGCCATTATAAGTGCTTCCTAAAAGAAAAAGTAAAAATTGAAATTACAGCTCAGAGTTCTAATACAAAGGATATTCTCTGCTTCCAGTTAAGTACAGAATTGTTAAATAAGAAATTCAGGAAAGTCCATTTTCTCCCCTGTGAGCCAGCACATTCTTTTAAGATCTTCATCTTATAGTGATGCTCAGATTACTATCTGATAATAGGGTCTATTCTGCTGATGCTAACCTGATTATAGAATATTGTTCCCAGAGATACTTGGCTGCCCTTATTTTACTACCTTTTATTCTCTTAATCATTTCATGGATGATTAATTTTATTTCTTTCTTTGAGTTATATTGCTAATGTTTTTGTAATGTGATTTTTAATAGTTTATTCTTTTTGTATTATTTAAGGATATGTGGATTAGTTTAAATCCCAAACTAGCACTGTTGCATATTGTTCCTTCCATCAATTTTCTTAGAATTTTTAAAAAGAAAATCTTCATATGTTCTTGTAGAAAACCTTGCTGAATAGACACTCTTTTAATGGAATTTCCTCAGAGAAAGCAGATTTCAGCAAAACTATTTCTTGTTTGCTTGTTGAGTGTATGATGCCTCAATCCTCCAACCAACTTCAAGCAGTGTATAGCATATTAAAACAATAAAACAAGTAATAAACAACAATATAGTACTACTTTGGGGAAGAAACATCAGTAAGAAATAAAATCCCAGTATCAGTACAGGATCACCCTGGCCCAGGGCTTGCTGAAAGAGCTACATTTTAGGACTTTCCTAAATGAGTTGGGGGTGGGGTTATCCGAGAGGGCAAGGATGGCCACAGAGAAGTCATCTCTCCAGAAGAATCAAGTTTCAATAATGTTCATGTTTTTATCTGATTGCAAAAAAAATGTATTTGTCAAGAAACCAAAACATATAAACTCCTTGGGAAAACCCAATTTAGAAGTACAACTTAGATGTTTTGGCATTTTGATTAGTTACACAATCTTCTTTTAAAGAACTCTATGGGGATTTTTCTTCCTGATTGAAGGAGAAATAACTATGTACAATATTAATTGAATTCCCATGATATCCTAATTCAAGTTTACTGAATTTATAAAACAAATTTTCATCTATTATTGTTCCTTCACCTCCAAAGCACAGATATAGCATGATATTCTTCATTTTGCAACATGGAAATGTCACAAACTGGCACTAGGATCTACATTGGATTCATTGATTAACAGGTTGGGTAAATATTCAGTTTGGAGATTTGAAGGATCCATACAATTCTGTGGATCAAAACAAAATTAATCTGACTGCATAAAAAGCTTAGAGAAGATTTTAAAAGAACACCTACAAGAAATGGGCAAACAATAAAGACCCCACAGATGAAGTCACAAAAATAAATATTTGTAATGAGTTGAGATCAGTAAAGAAGAATAAAAAAGGCATCTTTAGGTATGTTCAAAATAAAAGAGGAAAACAGAATTTTAAATAGGGAATAATTTTTAAAAATTTTCAAAGATTTTAAATATGACACAGCTATTAATATATTTGCTTTTTAATTGGTTTTATAGGGGAAATGTTTTTTGTGTTGTTTTTTTTTTTTTTTTTTTTTTAACATGCTGTGAGCCGCCCTGAGTCCCTCTGGGGAGAAGGGCGGCATAGAAGTTTAAATATAAATAAATAAATAAATAAATACTGTACCAGCTGCTAATGAAGATGACAAAATGGTAAATAAAAATCAGAGCTATCCAACTCTTACTTTAGTTCAGTCTTTTCTAATAAAACTCATGGTTAAGAGAAAAGTGTGAAGAGAGAATAGAAGAGCAGGACTTCCTACTTTGAGACTTTTAAACTACCTTTTTACAGTTGTCCTCAACCTACAATCATAATTGGGCCTGGAATTACAGTTGTAAGTCATGTCAGTCATTAAGCAGGTCATCATGTGCTGTGCAAGATTTTGTGGCATTTGTTCAGTGAACCATGGTGGTCATTAAGCAAATCTATTGTCCACAATGGGTCTTTTTTTGCCAGAAACCGGAAGTAAATACTGGTTTCTGCTAAAAATGTTATAAATTGCAGTCATGTGACCATGGGGTGCTACAAATGACAATACATGGTTGCCAAGTATCCAAAATGAGATCATGTGACTGCAGGGTTGATGGTGCAGAATTTTAAATCTGGATTGCAAGTAGTCCTGGGGATGTCTGTGGTGACTTTGAACGGTCGGTAAGTGACCTGTCATAATTTGAGGACTATCTGTATTTAATATATCTTGATTTCAGCAAAGTATATGACAAGGTACTCCAAGATATACTGCCTAGCTAGTGTGTGCTAGATGGCATCATGATTAAATAAATACAGAGCTGGGTTGAAAATTGTACTGAGAGAGATCTTAAAAAATAGAGATCAAATGAATGCAACAAGGATCAGTCCTGGGCCACCCTATTCATTGATGTTTGGGATAAAGTGTTGCAAGGAAAGCTCATCAAAGTGTATGTGATACAACATTCAGTTAGGAAACAAAAATCGCTGCACAAGTATAGGATGGGAAAAGAAGAAGAAATACTGGAATAGAAGTTGATTATCAATCCAGTATAAGTCCTGCTATTGCTACACAAAATTCTAGGCTGCCAAAGTATAAATTTCAATTTACAGGAAGTAATCATTCCTTTTCATTTTACCTGTTGGACCCTATTTCCAGAACCTTACCTTACTGTGGGCTTTATAATTTAAAAAAGAATTCAGCAAAGTTCCACAAAGGATCAGCAAAAATGGTTGGGGATTAGAAACTAAACCTATGAAGAAAGATTGATAAAAAATATTTAAACACCTCATATGATGTCAGATAAAAAGATGAGACTTGTTCTCTCATTCCAGTGCATAGGACATGATTTGGATTTAAGATTTAAGATACAAGAAAACAGATTCCAATTGAATGTTAGAAAAAAAATCATAATAGTTAGAACAGTGTAACAATGAAACCAATTATCCAGAGAGGATAGCAATAACTGCTAAGTCAAGTAAGTCAATGAAAATAAAGACATGAAAGAAGAAAAGAAAAAAGAAATATAATTGTAATTAAATAAAATCAACTTGATTAACCAAATTGAATGAGTGATTAAAATAGGATCAGACCTAATTCACATAGATCTATAAACGACTGTATCTAATATTTGTACTATAAAGGGGTAGAAAGTGAGGATTCCTCTATAAGAGAGGAACTGTGATGTGCCTTTATTTCATACAAACACCTCAAATCTTGATTCACTAAGCATAAACATATTTCATAATAACCACTTCTTCTGCAAAATTATAATCATCTTCGCCACCTTCATAAATACAAGATGGAAGGGTGAAAGGGAACAGAAAAAAAAATTACGGGGTGAGGTGGTAGAGGCAGTTGAATTAAAATTACACAAAATTGCTCATCCAAGTACAAAGTGGATTCGAAACAAAATTGCTGGATATTTGCATAATAGTTGCTTTATATAAAAAAGTAGATGAACAAGACACTAATTATAAGGAGGGAGATATAACAGATGTCTTAACCTTTTATTTTTTTGGAAATCTTTTTGAGATTGTGTAAAGCTTTTTTCATGGTTTTGGAAGGTAGATTAAGATCCAAGCGTAACTAATGGCAAAGAATGAGTGGGTGATGAGAAGTAGAAGCAGAAAGAACAGATCCATTAAAACCATTTGTTCTTTGTTAGAATTAATATTCCATTCTTTTGTCAATTCTATATGAGGTCTAGAAGAAATATTAGCATCTCTTTATGAGCATCTCTTTCCATCTCACTGCACCTTAATAATTGAATGAGTATTTCCATTTTAAATTGCCAGTCCCCTACCTGTAGACCAATCAGAACATAGAGAGGCAGAAGAGTCCTGCAGCCTTCCATCTGCAAGCAATGAACCCTGCCATTCTCTAACGTTTAGCCAAAGATGGAATAACAGCTGCTCCTGGAGGGCTAATTTTGGGATTGCTTTGTCTGGGATTGTCAGAATCCAATTATATTTCATTTCTAGCTACCTACTCTGATAAAAACCCATTTCTTACTCTCTCTGGATTCTGTCATACTACAGTGGAGGAGGAGGATAAGCAAGGGGGTTTTATAACTCTCACTTCCTTCATTAAACTACAAAGTGACTGGATGTTGATTCTCATCAAGAGGACTGACCATAACAATATGGCCATTGCCTTTCATCTACTCTCTCTGAAGTCTCCCTTTTGCCGGCAGTGAGGGAAAAGGGGGGAACAATGCAACGCCTGGGATCTGGGAAAAGAGAGGATGAGTGATCATCGTCTGGAAGAACTGTGGGGTGGGGGATGCTTGGGAACACTTTAAAACATTGAAGGATGGGAGAGAATTTCCCAGATCCTATCTAGCATGCCTACAATCATTTTCTCTTAATAAAGATGCCTGTTGGAAGAGACATTCCAAGAGTTCTGTCTTCTTAAGATGTAAAGTGAGGTGGGTCCTTACATTAGACAAGATCTGCAAAATTAGTCCACCTGGAAGGGAGAACCTTGCCAGGGGACTTTGCAAAAAATACCATGTCAGACGACGAAGCAGGGAAGGGAGAAAGCCACCCAGAGAGGGAGCCACTGTCCCAACTGAAAACCTGCCAGATGTTGGGATCTGAGAGGTCAGATTTTTCAGGAAAAGAGGTGGTGAAGACGCGTAGCCACAAACCTTGGTGGTCAATGGGCATTGGAAAGAAAGGTGAGTAGGAAAAGAAATCAAGAAAGGTGACCCTGAGACGGAGGGCCAACCAACCAGAATTGAAGCAGGAGATGGGGAAATCCCTGTACGCAAGCAAAGAGGAAGGAAGCTGGGCACCGCACTCGAGCTGGATCCTACAGAAAGCTATCGACTTGATGAAGAGAACCCTCAGCTCCCTAGGAGAGGAGAATTCTGAGCCCTACGGCCACACCAGCTCCTGGAGCCGCAACTGGAGAGACACCGAGGGGGGAGTGGAACCTGCAGCCCCAGGGACATCTGCTGATCCAGTAGTCCCCACTCCCTGCCGA